CGGGACGAGACCAGTGAGAAGGCACGGGGGGGGTGGGGATAGGGTGGTTGGAAGACTCGAGTGCTTCTCGCCAGTTAGGAGTTCCCAGGAATGCCCACGCCCCCTGCTGGACGGGCCCGACAGGGGCGGGAGAGGGGACTGAGACGTAGGTGGAGGCTGGGCCAGATGAAGGGGGCTCCATTTAAGTCTAAAATCCTGGGACTTTCACGGAAGTCTGGGAGTGGTTGCAAAAATGAAACCAAAGAGGAAGAATGGTTATGTCACGTAGCTTGGAGCATGGTGGACACAGGCAGGTTCAGGCTTGCCGTCCACTACGGCTGTGCACTTGACAGAGGGGAGTGCACAGATGGCCACTGACCAGGCAGAGGAAGCAGCGGGGGCTCGGAACCTCGCTGCCATCTTCCCACGGCCACACAGCCAGAATGTGGCTGAAATGTGGCGCCTGGCCAAGGCCCCACTCCAGCCCTATTTCATCAAGCTGCCCTCCCCATACCCCACACTCTTCTCTCTGTTCCGAGAAATTCTTTGTCATAATTTGAAGCAGCAGTGAGCCATGACTGTACTGCCTGCGTGGGAAGGGGACCGAAGGGATGGGTGTGAAGCCAACACCCCCTGGGAGTTTTCTGGTTCTCGTGTACACCCCCCCACTCTCTCTCTCTCTCTCTCTCTCTCTCTCTCTCTCTCTCTCTGAACTTGGGTTCAAATCCATCACCGGCTGACTAACCCTGGGAAAGTTATTTAACTTTCCAGAGCCCGGCTTCTTCATTTGTGGGCAGGGCACAGTAATAATGACCTCGCAGGACTGTGTGAGGTAAAATAGAAAACAGTGTAGGTGGAGTGGACCCATCTGTACCAATGGAAGGGTCTGTCATCGCCATTCCTGCAGGGGACATGAGCTTCCTGGGCACTAGTATTCCCAGGTGATGACACTTCAATGCTCTGAGCAACTCGAAAAAGGAATATTCTTCTACAAGGTTTTATCCAACCCGCAACATATTCAACCATGTAAATTTAGCTCGTTCATTTCCAACTAGATAGTGCAAGGGGTGCTGGCGTTTTCACTCGTGCTAGTGTCTCTAAGAGGCAGTTTGTAAGGGAGGAAAATTAAGTGGATTTTCATCTATTAGGACTATTCTCAAAAAGGGAAATAGTTAACTTTGGGTGGCTCAGTCGGTTAAGCGTCCCAACTCTTGGTTTCGGCTCAGGTCACGATCTCACGGATTCATGAGTTTGAACCCCACGCCAGGCTCTGTGCTGACAGTGAGGAGCCTGCTTGGGATTCTTTCTCTCCTCCTCTCTCTCTCTCTGCTCCTCTCCTGCTCACGCTGTCTCTGTCTCTCTCAAAGATAAATAAATAAACTTTAAGAAGGACTTCCTTCTCTTAAAACAAAAATAAAAACAAACAAAAAACCCTAAAATGATCTGCAAACAAGGTTTACAAATCAGCTTTTACAATGAGTTAACTCTAAGACATAGGTAAAAAAACTTCCTGAGAAGCTAGTGTCTCTTTGATTACAATGTTTCTGAAGAGAAGCACATACTTACTCTTAAATGTGAAAGGAAACCTATCTGCTCGTTTGTCATGAACATCAGGTGACCAGCACAGTTCAAAAACGTACAGGAAGGCAAAGGGAAGGGGCCGAGCTTTACCAAGGGGTAGGTGATGATGAAGGCCACCCAGCCGATGAGCAGGAAGGTGCTCAGGATGATGGTGGCTATGTCCTTCAGCATAGAGTCCACGGGGGCCTCGGGCTTAGCGGGGGCATGCTCGAACTTCTCCTCCACCTCCTGTGAAACGGCGGTGGGCGCGTTTTCTGAAGTCTGCTCCACCAGGTTGATAACCTTGTGTGGGACAGAGGGACTATGTCACTGCAGAATTTCTAGCCAGATACAAAATGGCCAAACAGTCAAGAGTAGTCATGACTATTTACCAGGAATGACCCCCACCGTAAAATGTGTTTTTTTTTTTAAAGCTCATCAGGGGCGCCTGGGTGGCGCAGTCGGTTAAGCGTCCGACTTTGGCCAGGTCATGATCTCGCGGTCCGTGAGTTCGAGCCCCGCGTCGGGCTCTGGGCTGATGGCTCAGAGCCTGGAGCCTGTTTCCGATTCTGTGTCTCCCTCTCTCTCTGCCCCTCCCCCGTTCATGCTCTGTCTCTCTCTGTCCCAAAAATAAATAAACGTTGAAAAAAAAAAAAAAAGCTCATCAAAGATCACAAAGCCAAACAATCGCTGCCTGTATCAAAGTGACTGCCCTGAGAGGCCATGCTTTATTGTAGTGATTGTATCAGTACTGAGAAACAGTTCTAACAGCAGTACTTTTGGAAATGGCTTCAGATCCCATATTCTTTTGAAAAGCCTTACTGAAGGCAGAGACCTCCTCCTTTGATGGTAGATTTGATAACTGGGAAAACTCTGAAATCATCTGTAACAAAGTCTGGTAAAAATGTTGGCAGTCATTAATACCATGTCACATTAAAAAGGTGGCTCAGTGGATTAAGCGTCAGACTCTTGATTTTGGCTCAAGTCATGACCTCAGTTTGTGGGATCGAGCCCAGTGTCAGACTCCACACTGACGGTGCAGAGCCTGCTTGGCATTCTCTCTCTCCCCGACTCTCTGCCCCTCTTCCACTCGTGTGCACACATGTGCCCTTTCTCTCAAAATAAATAAATAAATTTAAAAAATAAAAAGGAAAACAATGTGTGTGCACACACGCGGCTGAAGAGTAATGAAGCAGCTTGCTTCTGTGGCTTATAAACTTTCGGTGCAACTCCAAAAACAAAATCATTTTCTCGAGTATTTCACTCCTTTTCAAAGTTTCAGAAAAACATCAGAATCTTTTGTTAAAGAAACTTTTACTTGGGAAGCCCAGAATGAAATCAGATAAAAGTGGACCTTCCGTCTGAACTTCTTGGAGGCCCTAGGACTTCAAGAACAGTTTATAGAACACGTCGATTCATTCTCGAACATCCAGGGTTCCAGGAGTGCCATTACTGCTTGTCCAGTGAAGTGACTGCACGGCCTCTGGGCAAGTGCAGAGGGTTTGGCGTCCCCCCCAACACCCGACCCCACGCACCCACCTCTCCCGTCCCGATTCCTGCCTAGGGCTCTCTCCCAGCAGCTGCCCCACCCCTACAGTGCATGGGGCGGGGTGGGACGGCTGGTGTGGAGCAGGCAGCTCAGGAATGTCTGCTGAGCACGTGACCAGGAGCAACCCTCCTTTGGTTAGATTCTGTTCAAACGCGCGTTTGTTAAAGAAGGTGCCTTATTGCGGTATCAATGTACTTCAGAGTATTTTAATGGAGTTTTAGAAAACTGTTCAAGTTTGGATGATTATTAAAATCTTAACTGTGGCTACCTGTGGGTGTTACATTAAGGGTACTGTCCTCTTTCCTTCTCTATACTTTTATTTTCTAAGCGTTCCAGGATGGATAGGAGTGACTTTGATAAGATCAAAATCAGATGGAGACTTCAGGGCACCAGTGCTTTCCAAAATCACTGTCCTAGGACTCCATGTATTTTCCCAACTGGCTACCTCTAGAGTAACAGGCAACTCAAGATATTTTGCTCTAGAATTTTCAACGGGCACATGCTTTTCCTTCCTTTCTCTCTGGATAAAATCTGGACCCCTACAGTGAACTTGCCGTGATCATGGTCCCCCCGCAAGCCAGCCCCTCTCGTCTTCCTTGGACCTTGTCCCTTCTCAGGCCCCTTCTCGGGCCTGGGGTCTCCATGGCAAGGATGCCAAGACTCGCCAAGTCCAAATGGACCTTCAGACCTGCCCCCACCTCACTGGCCATGCTGGACACCTGCCTGCAGAGCCACCCTCCTGCCTTCTCCACCTGCTCTGTGCCACCTACGGGCATAGCAGTGGTCTCCCAGCCCCCTGGTTTCTGACTGGGACACCAGCAGATGGGCCAGAGGGAGGAGAATGAGGTCCAGTTCCGTGGGGTTGCTGAACATGTCAACTGAACCTCTAGGCTCCTGGCTTGGGGCCCTTTCCACTCCCTCCCCCCAACTTCAGGCTAAAGGATGCAAAGAGAAGCCCTGGGACTGTCCACATCTGTGTGAATAATCTCTGTTACACTCCCATCGTCCCTAATCTGAGGCGGCCGTCCAGCTGAGACCCTGACTGGCACCCTGTCTCCCCAGGGCTGCAGGAGGGCAGCCCAGGTCAGAGGCTCATGGCAGCTACTGCCTGGGTGGGCCTCCCCACTGCCCAAAGCTCCATCTCGTGGGCACTCTGGGTCCCCACCAGACCGAGCAGCCAAGCAGGCTGCTTCCAAAGGGCCACTCCTGGCTTCGTGAAGCTTCAGGTCTCCCACGTCCTCTTTTCATCAACCCTTTGCTCCACTGCCACGTGCCAACCTACATCCCAGTAACATGGTTCCTCTGTAGGACACGGCCCCATTTCTCACGACTCCCTGCCCTGTGGCCTTGGCTGGGAGTAGGTATCAGCCCCAGAGGTGCCCAGGCAAGGTCAGTCCCACCTCCAGGCCCTCATCTCTGCTGCTCTCTTCCCTCCAGTGCCCTCTGCCTCTCTCCCCCCGGGCCAGACCCCCCCCCCCCCGCCCATCCCTCCACCCTTCTTACAGCCTTCACTAAGCCCTTAGCACCAACCCCCCAGCAGTCTCTCATGGGGTGATGCGTGCTATGGATTCCCGAGCATCCCTCTCCCCTCCCGAGTTCACCGTAAGCTCTAAAGCCAAGGGCAAATGCCTTAGCCCCCAACACCTCACATGAGGAGCCAGGAACTAACTGTTTACGCCCCCACTCACTTCCTCAAAGCTCTTCTTCTCTGAATCGGCAGGAATCACATTTTCTCGATGTTTGGGCAGATTATTGGGGAATCTCTCCAGCATCTTGGTAGACGCAGACAGGGGGGTTTCATGGTGTCCTACGAGAGGAAACAAGCCTTCCATGAGAGCAGCCCCCCACACGGTGAAAGCCCTCCATGCTAAGCTTAGCCTACAGTGGCTCCCCGCTGAGGGGCCCACAGCGCAAACACCCACATATGTAAAGTGAGAGAAAACGACAGGCAATTACCAGAAAAATCTCATCAAGACAGAAATTTGATTACTCGGTGGCACGTACACAGTATTCTGAATCTCATAATGAGGGACGAAGAAGTGTCCTTGTCATGAGAGGAATCAGGACCTTTGAGATGTGTTCAGAGTAAGACTTCTGTGGGTAATTCCTACTTTAGGCTGTATGCTGCCCAAGCATCATGAAGCTTCATTAAAAATTCACGCAGTTCTCCCCAGTTACCTTGTAATATCCCTCTACTAAGGGTCTCACATTCCCCCCCTTGATATTTAAATTGCTCAGGCGGAGTTCTATTCCGATGATCTGCATGCATACTTCCATCCTGGGAAATGGTGAATTATGCATAAAAGAGAAACGCGATGTATTTGCTGGGGAGCAGAGGGTCACGGCTCTCTCAGCGCCCACTCCCTGTTCTCCACACTATCTAGTACATGTTACACACTGATTGAGCGCCTACTGTGTGCATATCACTGTAAGAGAGACAACGTTGAATATAAAATAAGCAACTGGGACTTGATCTGGCGGGAAAGTCTGTTTAGCTCTAACATTAAATGGCTCCTGTACTAACTACCCAGAAGAACCAGTTCACTCTCACGCTGGGCTGTCAGCCCCCTGACATACTTTCTTTTTTGTTCTTTCACTGTGATTCGGGTCTCACCCTATGGATCCCTCCACTGTTCTCTCAAACCTATCAAAGATTTTATGATCTGTATTTCCAAGACAAAAATAAGCAAGGACTAGTCCGAGCTGTGTACATTCCTTGATCCGGAAAAAATCTTTAGGTCAGTTCTCTATCTACAAGAGAAGACTGCTCTTTAAGGGAAACCTTGTTTTGTTTTAAACCATTGCCAGGTGAGGACCATGAGACATGCTTTGCCGTGAAGCAGGGTGTCCTCAGGTGGGGTCCACCTACCTCAGCCCTGAGATCAGACTTGCTGATGGGGCCCGGGGGTCTGAATGTGAGTTTCTCCCGGTGCCTCTGAGGTTCACTAATAAGAAACCTTCGCTCTAGGGGAAAGCAGGGTGCCTTCCACGTGCCGCCTTGTGCTGCAGGAGCCTCCCCCAACCCTGCACCTACCCCCCCAACAGACCACTGCAGCCCTGATTAGCCCGCAGCCCGCTTCCTCCAGGGCTACTTCTCCTGAACAGGCTTCTCCCGAATCTGGGCCTTTAGGAATCTCATTCTGCACACTCCGAACCAGCGGCTCCACAAGGCCAATCATGAGATCCTCAAACGTGTACAAACAGTACCTGGTCTTAGTGATTTATCTGTCCTCATCACCATGTCTGGGCTCCAGAGCAAAAAGCACAGGCCCTGCCCCAGACCTACTGAATTGGGATCTGCAGGGGTCACACGTGCTTCTGTGACAGAACCCCCAGGAGAAGCCAAGGGCACTCCGGGTTAGGGCCACTGCTCGGGGGAAACCCTAAGGCCGTGCCACTCAAGGTAAATGGACTCAGTTTATTTTCCAGACCAGTGTGAAAGAGGCAAGATCCTTAATGTCCTCCACAAACACCAAATCAAAGGACAAGGCTGGACGTAAAAGAGCGTATGTTATTGTACCTGTGGCCCTGAGTCTATGCAGAGATGGTCAAGTCGTTCCACTGCCTTATTTAAAAATGACTGGCTCTGGAGCTCCTCAAGGGGACTTCAGAGGTGTGAGAGGATCCCCTAATTACTTCTTTATACTTTGTTGAGTTTCTCAGTTGTCTTTCTTGGACAACCTTTACATTTTAAAAGGATATCTTTCTGCGGCGCCTGGGTGGCTCAGTTAAGCATCTGACTTCAGCTCAGGTCATGATCTCACAGTTTGTGGGTTCGAGCCCTGCATCGGGCTCTGTGTTGACAGCTCAGAGCCTGGAGCCTGCTTCGGATTCTGTGTCTCCCTCTCTCTCTGCCCCTCCCCCACTCATGTTCTGTCTCTCTCTCAAAAATAAACATTAAAAAAAATTTTTTTTTTTTTAAAAAGGGTGTCTTTTTGCAACCTAGCCATGAAGACTTTCTCCCCATGTTTTTTATAGTCTTACATACACATTTCCTTAGTTTCCAACAGTTTGTTCACTTCGTGACCACTGGTGGGCAATTTATGTAACCCTTAACTGGTACATAAAACTAAATGACCTTGTGATTTTAATAGCCTCCACTCATCAGCTATTTTTTTCTTCACCTGGGTCCACTCACACATGCTCTTGAAACTACTTTTGTTCAAAAAAAAGGTAGAATTACTTTGTTATCTCCTTTGCCCATTATTCTGTAAAAATAATAACCAGAAGAAAGTGGCTACAGGGAGTCAGGAAGAACAAAAAAGAACAGGACCCGGACAACCACAAAGGGAGCGATCGGGACTCCAGGACACTCAGGCTCCTGTCTGCAACACCCAGTTACACACCCCCATCTGGATGCCGCTGCGGGACAGATCCTGCGGCCTCCTGGGCCCACAAGCCTCCACGCCGCTCTATGTCCCTTCCCTGTGTCTCTGGCACTGCCCTCTCTCCCCTCCATTCCAGTCAGCTGCTAGTAGGGGGGCGGGGGAGAGAAAGGGGTA